CCGACCCTAAATCTATGAAACTATGAAACTATGAAACCTTCTGATTAAATAAAATTAAATAGCTAATTTAAATATGGTATTTATGGTCATTTCTATAAAAAGATGGGCATGAGGCCATTGGTCAGGAATGTAACCCCCATTATAATATTGTTTCTATGGGAAAATCAGATTCGACAATCGTTTTGACTTATAATGCTTTTTCCAGCAACATAACCTGCCGTAAGTGCAAGGACTGCCTATATTGCTAGTTTGTATGGGAGAGGATGAAACAACTCAAGAGATAATTACAATAATTACTTAATTTAACCAGAAACATGCACACCTTATATCTAGCCAAATTCAGTTCAGGCTCAAGGTGCTATGTAGCTGTAGGATATTCATATTTGTTTCCTGCGGGTTTGACAGTGCCACCTCTAGACCACGATTTGGATCTTTCAAAGGAAAGACATTAAAATCTGTTAAGTGCATCCAAGGTTTTTTTTTGGTGCAATAACAGTTGGAAGAAAAAATCCTTGTGACAGTTCTTCACCGGAGAAGGCCAATAAGGAAACACTTGGGAGAATGAAACATAGGGGATTTGGAAGTATTGCATTATGTCATATACACACTTTTTCTCCCCAAATTGCTATGCGTGTTTTAAGCGGGGAAGCTATTTTCTTCACTTTGCCATGCAGCTGCCAGGGTGATTGCCAAGATGGTAGAGTCCTGTGTTAACCCTCTCATAGCTATAGCTGTTGATTGAAAACTGTAGCTTGTACCTCAAGAAGCAAGTGAGCTGATGGTAGTATCTCGATGAGGCTTGTGATGTAGAAAAAATAGTTGATATACAGGAACTTACATAAAGAACTACTTATGGTAAAAGTTTGTACTGCCCTTACAAGAAACTGGGGCTTAGCTAGGTGTGACAAAGTAAGTCCTTTTGGAACCAGTGTTCAGGAAGTGTGGCATCCCAAAAGATACTCTGTCACACCAGGAAGTTCCTGCCACCTGCTCCCTCACCATCGTCACCAGTCATCATTGACTCTGGAAAGATTTTTTTTTTTTTTTACCTTCCAAAATTAGGTGCGTGTTTTATTCAGAGGCATATTGTATGCAACAAAATACAGAAGTTTTCCTTGCAGACAGATTCTTCCATAAATGTCCATTTCAAGCTTTTTTGAACCTTCACATCTGAGGAATATACTGGTTCAGTCTATCAGAGATAGTATACTGCATTAAACAGATCACTAGGGATATGTCCCCATGATCAGGAATGTGTTCCCCTGGGGACAAACAGCAGTGGCACAATATGTGCTGCTGCCACTTGTCCCCAGGGAATGCCCATACCACATGCACTTTGGTGCATGGCATGTTGCCCTGGTTGTGGTACAGGAAGTTGGAGCCAGCAATTATGCTGGCTGCAGCAGCCTTATCTGGGGTCCTGGGAGCCTCTGGGAGCTGCAGCCATGGCGATCCTGCAACAGGAAGCCTGATTGGCAACCAGAGCATGGCTCGGGCTGACCACGGTCTGGTTTTGGGCAGCATGCAGTGCCACCACATGCACCACCCTACTTTTTTTAGGCCTGGGTTCTTTTGACCCTGGGTCAAAAAACACTCCCACACTGCAAATTAGCAGTGCAGGGAATGCCTGAATGTGCAGCATATGTTGTGTGCAGTGCCACAGATGGGCCTGCAGTGCCATATACTGCAAGTCCACACTTGTCTGGATGCACTCAAGGGGAGCATCCAGACAATCACACACATTCAGGGACATAAATACCAGTGGCACATATTTGTGCTGCTGCTTTGTTTCCCAGGACACGTCACTGCTTGTGTGCTCTAGCATGTGCCAAATTGTCCCAGGTAGGATAGGGGAGGCTGGGGCCAGCACTTGTGTCCTGGGGGCCTCCCCAGGCAGCAGCAGTACTGATCTGGCTGTACAGGGCCTGATTACCACACCGCTTTTTTGTGGCAGTTTTTTTGACACCAGGATCTTCTCGTGTAAAATTTTGGCACCATGGTGCAAGTTAGCCACACAATGAATGGTTGCACATGTGCTGCATGCAGTTGGAGATACCACAGACTACATATGCACACTCCTCTGGATGTACCCTAGTAGGTTCTAAAATGGTTATTACAATGATCCATTTCTGGTACAGGAAACTTAATATCCCATGTTAATGTGGAAAAATCTGAAAATAGGATGGATTTCTGCATGGAAAATTAATTTATTTTGGCATTTGGGGACATCAGATCTTAAGATGCCGTTGGTGTTTCTATCCTGGAGCCTTAGTGGGGTAGTTAGTAGCCATTACTTCCTAACTGTTAACACTATTGTGGATTTCCCATCTAACGTGAATAGTACACTTATGTATAATGTAACAGCAAAAAAAGAAAAATGCTACTTTCATTTATAACCAAATGTCATATATCTTTTTATAACACAAGGGAAAAGCTATAGAGATCTTTGTATACCAATATCCATATTTTTAGCAAGAATACTAATAGTCACTGGACACGTCTACAAGAGACACTGACTGTGTAGTAGCCTGATACTACTGTGCAGTAGCATCTTATGGCAAAAACTGTGCTGAGATGCGACTGCACAGCAATATTAGACTACTACGCAGTAGCATCACTTAAAAGACGTTCACTGGCTCTACTGCACAGTAACTCCAGTTACTGTGCATTTATTTAGTACTTGCTATATCAGTACTAAATAAATATGCAGTAACCACTGCACAGTAGCATCTCATGTAGACGCACCCAGCTAAGGTGAATATTCATTCACTGTAGACTCTCACTAGTTTAGGATTTTCTGGCCTGCTGCCATGAGAAAAGATATGTTATTTTGGAACCTTCTGTTCTATACTTGCCTGGTGCTAAAAAGTTAACGCAAGAAACACGTATTTCCAGGCTAAAAAAACAGGACAAAACACAAGAATGGTTTAGAAAAGCTGTAGTCATGCATTTAGTACTTCTGACTGCTTGCTTTGTTAAGCTTAGTTTCTGCTCATTGCCCTCTGTCAACCTCTCATATCTTGTGTCTCTGCTAATGCTTCTCTCTTTGTTATCTGGGATATATCTGTAAAGAAGGAAAAGATAAAGTATTTGGTACTGGAATAAACTTAGAAGTCAGTTCTGAGCATGAAGAAGTGGCTAAATAGGAATATTATATCAGCATTCCAATAGGGAGATTAAGCAATAGCAAATTACAGAGTGAGAGGAGTTATTTGACATGGGCCTTATGTGACGTTTAGTCACCTCTCTCGATACACTGAACAGGACTGGTAAGCAAGAGATAGGCTTCTCTTACAAACTGGTATGCAAATGGGTATGGCTTGAACTCCAGTGATTCCTATAGGAGCCAGAAAAATTCACATCACAGTACTCTGCATCATCTTATAAAGTCCAATGCATCCTGCATTATCTGGTGTCCCGCTTCCATTTGTTATTACTGCCTACAGGTATAGAAGACTGTACCTGTCTCGTAGGAGACAACACTTGATGACCCTCAACCACAAACCAGGTTTTAAGATTCTCAAATCTGTTTTAAGGCTCTGCTTCTTCCCTTCCAAAATCTTGCACCAAATGCCTCTTGCCTTTGCATACTCTTTTTGCCATAACTGTGCCACTGTTCCACCTACCCCTGGGAGTCAGCTTCTGAACACCCCACATGGGATGAGACCCCATTGTTAATGCTCGTGCTAGTGATGGTGCTGTCCCTGGGCCATGACATGGATATGAGGAAGAAAAATCAGTATGATTTCTGGGAAAAAGATTCGCATGCCTGCTTTGTTGCATTGTAGCATGAAAAGAATAGTTTTCAGGATAAAATTTTTACATTGAAAAAAAGGGATGACAAGAAGGCAACCAGAATAGGCTCCAGAATATCAGTGTGTTCAGCAGACTCAACACTACAGGTTTATATGGGGAATCAAAATAAAAGTCAAGAGTCAAGATATAGGCCCAGAAATGGTTCCTATTGGTACATTTGTGTGTATATCCTTTTGGACCAAATCCTATTTTCAGTTGCATTCAAGTACCTCCATTAAAGTCAGGGGAGATTTAGGGGGCAAGTGGGATCCTTTATAATGGGAAGTGAGAACAAGGAATTCATACTTTATTCAGAGTGGCCTAAAGCATAGCCAGAAAGCTAACTGAGGCACATGAAGTTCTAAATTGCAATCTGCAGCCCTCGCCATTCGAAGAATGGAGGTACTTCTGCAGAGAGTGTGAGAGTCACAACATACATTGCCTATTGGGATAGATCTCCACAGGCAGCCCCCCAGCTGTCTTTGAGAAACAGGCAGTGACGTTTTGCTCCACATTGTGAGCACAGGGAGGACCCCCAGGCTTTGGGCAAGTTGCCAAAGCAGTCCCTGACCTGGCAATATTTGGATGTCTCTGATTTAATTAATACAAATGACATGGATATTTGTCTCCAACTATAGCTTATCATGCACTAGGCAGGAGAGAGATGCATCTTACAGATTAACTGAATCAGTGAGCAACAGCTCCCATCTAGCAACTGATGAACTCTGATCTAGCATCTGCTCACATCTAGCATCTGATCATGCAAGCTTACGAATCTCTGATTCAGTTAATCTATAAGGTGCATCTCTACCTTCCCTCCTTCTGACTTCAGATTAACACAGGTATCTGCCTCTCTCATCATACACTGATAACAGTGTCAGCCAGCAAACAAATAGCCAGGGAAAGGTCTGTATTTGTTTATGGACATGGTGCACATACAATAAATTAGTCCCTGCTCTTTTGGAGAAAGACAGGGGATCCATTCCTTGACTTCTTACTTTGCCACATTCAGGTCAGGCTTAGCATGCTTTCTGGCAGGTAGAGGCTCACACTGAGTGTCATTTGTAGCAGGTACTTTCAGTTTCTCAGTATTTTCAGTATTGTTCCTGAAACTGGAAAACCTATGGGGAAAAAAATCAGAGTGTTTGTTTAAGGAAGTGTGAAAAATGACTAGCTTGCACTGTGTGAAAATCCATTCTCAAAGCAGAATCATCAGGCTGGAAGCTGGAAAAATAGTTGGGTAAGCCTGAGATTTAAAAGCTGCCCTAGGGATTTAGAAGCATATTTTCTAAATGAAACTGAAGCAAGTTGTGCATGTAAATCCCTCAGCTGGACTTCAAAATTTCAGCTTGATAGCTATAATCTTTGATGGTTTCAGAGGGAATGTACTAGCCACTGGAGCATGTCTGAGTGTCAGATTTAGTGTTGCCATGACTCTTTCACTTGATAGATGCTCCCACATAAACACACACACACTAAACATACAGTCTTAGTAACATCATTGCAGGCCTGGGTTATTTTGGGATAAGTCTCTGTAACCCAAGACGTCTGTCTTTCCTTGCTGATGTCAGTAGGGTTGCAGGATATAAGTGACTCAAAGTAAAAAACTTGCTATTTGACTTTTCTTTGGATACTATGAGCACCTATACACATGCGCAGAGACTGCTCCAACATGCTGGAAATCCAGCACTTTGGAGCAGACTCAATTAATCAAGTCTGCTGGAGTACAGAAATTGATGCGCTCTGGCAGCCTTCCGTGTCATGTGTTTCAGTGTCCTTGTACTAAAAAAAAAAATGGTGGCGGGGCACTTTGAAATAAAACACATTTGATGAGCTTTAAAGTGCCCCACCACCATTTTTTCAGCATGGGGATTCTGACACACATGATACTTGGGTGCTTTTAATTAGCATGGTTTTCTAATTAAAGGGCCCAGTGCTGCATCCCAAAGCATGTGTAAAAATGCCCTAGTTGAATATTCATTGTCCAAACTTCCCTCCCATGATTCTGAAGTTAGAGTTGCCTATCACAGAGCACTACAAAACAATGGGATACTTGTATATTTTTGTTAGGATAGGATGGAAGAATTAGTCAGTCAAATAAAACCTATTGGCTCCCTACCCTGTTGTGCTCATTTCTGCTGTGTAGTAATCTGTTGCTTGAGTCTTCTCTTGTCCTCTCTCTCTGCTAGTGCTTCCCTCTTCATAAGCTTGGATAGAGCTGGCAAAGAAAGAGAAATCCCTTTAATACAGTTACTGTCGATACCTAAGCCACTGGAGGGCTAAATTCAATGTACACAGGAGAATTCAATGAAGATCCTGTTTCAACAGAGGATATTTCAAGCATTGCCACTTCGTTCTAGGATACTAAAGTTCTGGTAAAAGTGCTTAATACTATAAAGTATGGAATGTTTCTCAAGAGATGCTGAACGTCTTCATTTGCTATGGAGTTCAATGGAATACCAGAGTAGAGACCTTATCATAAGACAAGTCAACTCCTTGCATATCAAGCACTTGGCTTTTGTCCTGTTGTTCTATATCAAAGTAGCCCCTTTCTGATTATAGCTGAGCTTTATAAGGATCCTACCTAGAATTCTCTAGATTTTCTGGAAAGTAATGCACTTCTGCTTCATGCTCAGTACTGACTTTATAATACTACAAGAGCTATAAATATGTTTCACAGCATTTCTAGTTTAGTGTCCAAATGCTGTGAACTTGGAATTGTGAAGAGTGCCAATGAAAATCTGAAGAGACCTTTACCATAAATGCTGGCCTGCTTACTTCTGACTAAAATAATTCTTTAAAAGGAGAGAAGTACAACTCCCACAGCAGTAAATAATGGAAGAGGAGGGACTACATATACATACTAATCACTCATTATATAAGTAACCCTTCTAGCATACCAGTATGTGCCATGCAGTAATATTACACAAAACCATTGTAAAGTATGACCTATTTGTTCTGCATTTGCCTGAGACAAATGACAGTGAATTATCCCCTAGAGTTGTCCACTGAATTAGGGATTCTCAGATGGTCACCTTGGATAGCTGTGCTTCTGACTGCTAAAACAATCATTTGCACAATGGTAACAGCTTTAACTAATCCTAGCTGGTACATCCCAGGTGCTATATCTTTTAGCCTTGACAAATGAATGATGGTTTCCAGGTCTTCCCAGATTAGCCAATTGTAGGTTTTCCCCTTGTCCTCTTATTTTTTTGTCATAATACCAAATACTGAACTCCTCTTTCATGATCAAACTGAGCATCATTTGCCTACATCTGGCCTTTATAGCTGCTGTCTATGGCAGTGACTTTGTTCTCTTGAGAATGAGAGCTGGATCTGCTAAAGAGATGAAAGACGTTATGGAAACAATCTAAATAAATGAGTTCCTTAGTAAAAGATTTTCATGAGAACAGTGTTACAGTATAATGTAAGCGATGGGGAATTAATATAAATGATGAAGTCTCATTTCATAAAACAAAATTAGCATGGATTTCTTCAGAGAAAAATGTTTAATTTCAAATGTTTATAATGTTGAAGAGCTCAGACAGAATGAGGGAATAGTCAGTGTTTTATTAAAATCTTAGTTTCTTCTCACCATTGTGGACAACTACCCAAGAGAGCTTCAAATGAAGGGATATTAGCCAGATAAGTCTGCTATAGTGTCTCACTTCAATGCACACACACTGAACGTAGTGTTCGGCACAAAAGGAAATTGTTAGTGTACTCTGCTTACATGCATATCAGATAACCACATACTTCACTAAACTGCATAACACAAAGCCAGTTCCAAATCTTTGCCCTTGGCTTACATTACAACAAACATTGATTTCCTGAATATTAGTTACCTGCATAAATCACTTAAGAGCATGGCATCTTTTGGCTCTACTCTAGCTAACTGCATAATAATAAAGGGGAGGCAGCTGTTAAAGGACCAATACTAGAAGTCTTGAAAGTGATGGCAGCTGGTTAGTTTCAGGCAGCAGCAGAGCTAAGGGTGGGTGACCAGGGCATGAGCCTCAGGCACCAGTTCATAGAAGGTGCTGCCATACCATGCTGCCAAGTTCAGTTTCCCTGCTGTCCCTTTTTGCTGATGCTGGAAGTTAGCAGCACTAAAGGAAGAGCTGGGCCAGGGCCAGTTTCAAGCTTTGGTGATAGGGAGCGGGGACATGAGACATTCACATCTGATGTGGTAGTTTAAGGTGTGCAGGGGTTGTGCTGCAATAGTCCCAGTCATCAAAATCATGCCTCCCCTCCCCCTGTCAAGGGAGAGGCCACTGCTGCAGGGGATGTGATATTGGTGCAGCCAGCAAGTCAACTGTCCCTCTACTGTAGCTGTTGGCTTTGTAGCCGCTGACTTTAGTGCTGTCCATCACTGGTAGAGATGGCAATTGGCATCACAGGAGTGAGCAGCAGTAGTGGCTGCAGTAAAGGGCTGCAAGAGGGTCCCTGCTGTATTAACCCTTTAGCTGCTGGCCATGCTGACATCTCCCCCTGAAGCAGCAGTGTCTCCCACTGCTTCAGAGGAAGGGGAAAGGAACAGGGAAGGGTGAAAGGGGGCTGATTAGGGGATTATGACCTCTAGGATGGGACCCCCAGGCTGCCCAGGACACATGCCTTGCTGGTTATGTTTCTGATTTCAAGACTGCAAATGCCACAGCACTGACAACAGTGGAGATGTGACATTGTGTACTTAATTAGGATTGCTTATTTAAGTTTAGGTAAGTATATACTCTTGATAAGGGCAAGTTTCAGGATGAAAGCTATGCACTTAAATCAAGGATATTGTATGTGATATCTGATTGGGAACTGGACAACAGGAAGCATTTTGTCAGTCATAACTGTGATGGTGCTTGTTAAGTCACAGTCCCATTTCTACTTCCAAGACTTACTGCTGAGTATCCTATTGCTATTCCTTGCCCTCAGTTTCACTGACTGGTGACATTAAAAACAGCCCTATCTCTCCCTTACCTTTTAAGATCAAATTCTTCATCATCCAGATGCACAGGGACTTTGTATTGAACCTCTTGGGTAATAGTGCTGCTCTCTCTTTCAGAAGTGCAGGGCCTACCAAAGAAGGAGGGTTACTCCATTACGTAAAGTGCCTTGGAGACCAAATGGTGGGATTTGAATCTGAAGGGACTAAATCCTTTGCAAAATATGTACACAGAATGATTTATTTTGCGGGATGTGTAGACAATAAGTATGGACTATGGAACCCCCTTGTTAAGCATCTGGGGTTTTCCTTCCCACAGTACTGACAAGATTGTCACTAATGGAAAGTATCAGCCAGAGAAATCTGACCCAGGGTTGGACTAGAAGGGAGGATGTATAAAGGTGAAGTATTTAGAATGAGAAGATATCCTCTCTTCTTAACTCTCCTACACATTTATGGTGTGGCATTTGGCAAGACTATATCTCAGTTTCTTCCTGAGTGAAATAAGGGTAATAAATATTTGTTTATCTCCCAGAGAAGATTAAGAAGCAAAGAACATCCCTGTTTGCAAAGTGCATCAAAGTTCTAGGATGCAGGGTTCTATAGAAATAGCCATTATTAGTACTTCTGCTGGAGTTCATAAAGGAATCTCAGCACAGGCACATACCCCCAAGCCTAGTTCTAACAAGCATTACATCTGTGTAAGCTCCACAGAAGTCACAGGGTGTCCCAAATGGATTCTTAAGGGCTGGAATGTGCCAAAGATATACTTGTAATGGACAGATCATGGAGATATTGGATTGCTCTCGGGAAATATAAAATCATTTCACTGCAAGATTTGATTTTTGCATTGGATATTGCATGAATATTTGTTGTTTTAGCTGACATCCTTGGCAGTGAACTTGGAACTGCAGTATCTAATTGACCAGAATATAATGTTCTGGACTTTCCTCATACTAAGGGGTTAGCGAGTAACAGATATAAGGTTTGGGCAAAAGAAGAACTGAATATAGTGTCAAAATTCGTCCCAGCAAATATGTTCTTGCCCCTTGGCTCCTTACTCTGTGTCATTCCGATCAGGTTCTTCACTTTCTGTGGCTCTGGGACTCTTGTATCTGGCATCTTGGGTGGTACTTCTCTCCTCATCATCTGGGACAGTTCTGGTAAGCAAGAAAAAGCCCACTTAACTACAACCTCAGAAAGCTGAATTGCTTCCTGAGCCAGTTCTATGCACCGAGGACAAAGAAAGATTCTTTTTGTGCCCAGTTGCACTGTTTAAAGGATCTTTCTATGGGCATCATTTCATGGGCTTAATTGCATTTCAGTGTACTCATATTTCAGTCACTCTTCAACACCTCTGTTGCCATTGCAACGTTGAATTGTAGACCAAATCCTCTCCATATTAGTATTAGTTAAAATCTAAGGGATCTAATCTGTCTAAGTGCACAGTCACAGGAGAAAAGAGCCAGAGTGTTGAATCTGAGCATGCAGAGAAGGGCTACAACCCAGAGCTCATTCAGTGTCTGGCAGCGGGGATGCAGACTTTTGAACAGTCTCCATTATCCCTGTTCCTGACTGCTAGTAATAAAAAGACTGAGTCCTTTTATGTCTTTCCAGACCAGCTGGACTTCACATTTTCCATGGTCTTCATATTCTCTGGTAGATTCAGTAAACCCAGTGCCTTCTTACCTTTTAAAATTATATTCTGTACCATTCTGATGTGCAAGGACTTTGTATCTGGTGTCATTAGGAGATGGAGGGATATCTGCAGACTGTGAGCTGGACCTGTCAAAAGTGGAGAATTATTAAATTGCTTCACTCGTTGGTGAAAGTTGTTCAAGTGGTTCTCAGATGGCATTCATAGGAATTACTGTTAGGAGTAACAAGCCTACACTTTTCAAGCCTAACAAGCCTAGAAAAATAGCAAGTAATTTGAGTTAGAGTACTGATTTCCTTTTAGAAAAGCATTCCTGCTACCTCTACCTGACAAAAATAGAGACTTCTAGACAACACGAGGTACTTATGTCTCAAATAGAGCAGCTCCTCTTCTGGTTCCCTCTTCCTATTCACCAAAGACTTTGAAGCCTGCTGATAAAGCCCAGAAAGAATCTCTTAAGGGACTGTTAGCCTGCATGGCTAGCAACAACTCCAAGGCTTCTTCTTGGAGTAGAGTTCCTAACATGCATCTGAGTTTGTCTTCTATCCACAAAAAGGTTAGAATGGTGTCACAAGACCACACTTAACTTCTGAGACCCTTTAGTAGGACAAAGTAAGGAATTAAGATGCAAAGTGAGGGACTCAGGAAAAGGAAAATGCTGGCCGTAGGTAGATTAAATCTAGCCTGGTTGATTCTCCAGTAGAAAATCTGAGTAGAGATGATTTATTATTAATATAATCAAATCTATACTCATGGCATGATGAGTGCACTCCAAAGCTCTTACCCTGTGAGGTTGGAATTTGTGTCCTCCAGGTGCACAGGGACTTTGTACCAGTGGCGCAGCTCAGGTGGAGCATCAGCAGCACCAATCCCATAATGGGAACTGGATCTGCAAAGACAGAGAGAGAGATTCATGGCACTTTGGAAGAGAGACCGGTAAGAGTCCAAAGTTACAATATCATTGATAAACAATACATTCCTCTAGCTCCTTTACAGACATGTAACTACCCATCAGCTATGTTGTGCACAGCAGACTGCACATTATGACGTTGCATTGTTCAAGACAGTTTCTGGATGTGAGTCCAAGAGACAAATGCCAACATGGGAAAGGAGATGAAGGACCATAACATATTGTGAAATGATGGGACAGAAGGTGGTGGTATGAAGTGGGTATGGGGATTCAAGCAAAGATATTTCCAAATATGTTGGGACATTCTACGGGCCCTAGTTTCTAAACCTACAGACATACACACAGTGAAGGAGCTGCTCCATACCCCTTCTGGCTTATTTCAGGGGAGATGGTAATGTGTGGAACTTCAGGTCTTTGGTCCAACATTGTATATTTCTGTTTTATTGCTTTGTCACTGTAGGAAGCAATAAAGCATATCAGTAAATAGCTTGTTTTGACCTCCTGCTCCTCAGTACCCCATATCCTGCCTTGGTAATCATTTCTTCAATTGTGCTCCATGACACAAATGTTCTTGCCCTCTGGCTATTCAAGTATTATTGTCCTGAAATGCTTCACAGACACTAGTGGATTTATTTTCACAACAGCCCCATATGGTAGGGAAGTATAATTAGTCTTATTCAATAAATGGTGAATTGAGACAGTAGAAGAAGGATATGTCTACAAAGCACATTGCAGCATCTGGGTAAGTTAGTGCTATGATGTTAATGTGACTACACCATTTCTGGTGAGCTACTTCAGATACTTCTATCCAGCACTACCTAAGTGACTTGCCAAAGGTCACAGAGAATCTGCGACAAAGATGAGAATAGAAATCAGGCCTTCCAAGATTTGTTACAGAGCTATGATGGCATGATTATATTTTCCAGAGGTCACTAAGGCAATGATGAGAAGATAACAAACATTGATCTGGAAGGGATAGGTGAAGATGTGACAACGTGGAAGGAGATTGTGCAAGATAAAAGGAGATGGAAGGCTGTAATTAAGGCAGTTATAGCTCCCCTCTCACCCCCAGGCCTGTGAGACAGAGAGAAAGGAAAGAGATCACTAAAAGTTACTGGCACAGAAATCAAATTCAAATGTTGTCCTCCCCAATCCTTTTGAGCTAATATCCCTTACAGAATAGTGTATTCTCTATTTTGCAATGTTGCACTGGCGCAATTGAAAACTGAAGAGGGTTTAGTATCACTGCTTTAAAAGATGCTTTCCACAAGGGAAGAAATTCTGTGGTATGGTTACTAATTAAAATGACAATGGACTTCTGAGGATATCCGAGTCAGGGTCCTCTCCTGCTGTTCAAGTTAAGGACCCATCTGTCATATTCTTTATATCAACTAAAGTGATTGCTTCAAATTCAGAGGCATCAAAGGAACGCTACCTCTCGTCAGAGGAAATGGGGTCATGTTTTTCAGCATGCACGGTTGGTCTGGGGATGCTTTCCTTCTTTCTATCATAGGAAAAAAAAGTGACAATGAATGAAGAGACTTCAGTCTTTGTTTTTGTGCCTCCCAGTCACCTTCCTATCATTAGACAAGCTCACCTTAAAGAATAGGGTAAAAAACATACAAAGACAACTATGTAATCAATTCTTCTAAGTAAAGAGAGTCTGGTTTATTTTCATAGATTCATAGACACTAGAGCTGGAAGGGACCTTGGGAGATCATCAAGTCCAGCCCCCTGCCCTAGGGGCAGGAAGTCAGCAGGGTTCATAGCATCCCAGCAAGATAAGCATCCAAATGTCTCTTGAAGGAATTCAAAGTCAGTGCTTGAACCACCTCCAGCGGCAGTCTCTTCCAGACCTTGGGGGCTTGGACAGTAAAGAAGTTCTTCCTTATGTCCAGCCTGAAACAGTCATGGAGGAGTGTGTGACCATTTGACCTTGTCATCCCTTGGGGTGCTGGTGAACAGACATTCCCCCAGGTCCTTGTAAGCACCCTTGATAAACTTATGGGTGGCCACCAGATCACCCCTGAGCCTGGACTTTTCCAGGCTGAAGAGTCCCATGGCTCTCAGCCTCTCACCATAAGGTCTGTTTTCCTGACCTCTGATCATGCACATGGCTCTCCTCTGTACTCTCAAGCTTCTCCACATCCTTTTTGACTTGTGGAGCCCAAAACTGGATGCAGTACTCCAGCTGCGACCTCACCAAGGCTGAGTACAATGGGAAAACAATGTCCTGGGATTTGCTTGAGAAGCATCTATGGATGCAAGCCAGTGTTTTGCTCACTTTACTAGCTGTAGCTCATGTTTATCTTGTGGTCAGTCATGACCCCCAAGTCCCTTTTGTCCGTAGTGCTAGCCAGCGTAGCACTGCCGAGCCTATAAGCATGCTGCAGGTTTTTCCTCCCAAGGCGGAGAACCTTGCATTTTTTGGTGTTAAACACCATCAGGTTCTCATATGCCCATTTCATGAGCCTGTCAAGGTCTGCCTAGATCACCCTCCTGTCCTCAGGTGTAGATGCTTTACCCCAGAGTTTGGTGTCATCAGTGAACTTGGCCAGTCTACTTCTGACACCACTGTCTACACCATTAATGAAGATGTCCCATAATGGGCAACGGGCGTCTCTTGGGACTGGTGAAAAATCAATGCAAAGTGCCCATTTAACAAGTTGACTTTTTCCTGGGTGTCGGTTGTCAGATGTCCCATCTGGTTTAGCAGGGGTCCAATGTTGCCCTTGCTTTTCCTTTGGCTCCCCACATATCTAAAAAAGGACTTTTTATTGTCCTTGATACTTGCAGCTAGTTGGAGTTCTGTTGCAGCCTTGGCTTTCCTGGTTTGCTCTCTGCAAGTCCGGACCAGTGCAGAGTATTCCTCCTTGGTGGTGGATCCAGTCCTCCATCCTTTGTAGGTCTGTTTTTTTAGATGCGGGAGGTCCACTAGTTCCCTGGAGAGCCAAGGGGGCTGCTGTACCCTTTTGCTGCCTTTCCTCTGAGACAGGATAGACTTTGCTTGCGCATCCACGATTGAGCAACCACTCATCCTGAACTCCCCTCCCCTTTGGGTTGTTGCCCTTAAGGGCCTCACTGAAAAGCCTCCTTAGCTTGTTGAAGTCAGCTTTCCTGAAGTCGAGGACTTCTGTGTTGCTGACTGCCTTGCCACCTTTACAGCAGATGGTGAAGGCGATCAGCTCATGGTCACTGTCACCCAGCTTTCCTTCGATCATTAAGTCACTGATTAGGTCATCCCCTGTTGCCAGTACCAGGTCAAGCAGCGCTTTACCTCTTATCAGTCCACAGACTTCCTGCATCAGACAGAGCTCATCCACACACGAGAGGAAGCTTTGCAACCGCTCAGATTTGGCTGAACGCTCTTCCCATGAGATGTCTCGGTAGCTGAAGTCTCCCATGACAACCATGCACCAGGAGCTTGTGGCCTCAGCCAGTTCCCCAGAGAACTCTTGGTCAAGGTCTTGATCCTGGGTAGGAGGTCTGTAGTAGACTCCCACCATTGTGTCCCTTGTGTCATGTCCCCCACAGATTTTAACCCAGATGGTTTCCAGTCATCCACCCTGGACACTGATGTCAGCTTGTAGGGATGCGTAGCTTTCCTTGACATAGGAGCTACAAACCTGCCCCTTTTGTCCACTCAGTCTCTCCTGTACAGGGTATAGCCATTTATACCTGTGGCCCAGTCATGGGTGGAGTCCCACCAGGTCTCTGTTATCCCAATGACATCATAATTATTTGTGTTGAGCAGGAGGACAAGTTCCTCCTGTTTATTCTCCAAGCTCCTGGCATTGGTGTACAGGTACACAAGTGTCTCTTCGGGTGCTCTTGCCTTGCCTACAGCTTGTTCCAGGGCTGGGGCAGGGGTGGGCTCCCTTAAGTGCCTTGGCCTGCTGGCTTTGCAAGGGTTGCTCAGTGGGCCAGCAGTGGTGGTAGTGCCCCCATCCCATGGCAGGCTTAGTTTAAAGCCTGGTGGAGCAGGTCAGCCAGTCTGGCTGAGAAGAGCCTTCTCCCCAGCAGAGAGAGATGGAGGCCATCCCTTCCCAGCAGCTCACTGTTTTATATTTTATAAATATAAAAGTTATATTTTAATAGGTTGTGATTTTGTGAAGAGTGAAGAAGGCAGAATTGACAGTCAGTTTATCCACAGTACAGAAGCATTCATTGCAAGCTTCCATCATGTGTTTCTTCACAAACCAGTTTTGATAGAGAGATAACCTTTAGGCATAATAGGAGAGTGGGATGGGAATTGATGGCCCCTCCCTGGCTGAGCTGGTAAAGGGTTAATGCTTTTCACTGGGAGGAAAAGAAAATATTGAAAACATTGGTTCTACTAGGCAATAGTCTAGTACAGGGTTTGAAGGTGGACCTGATAGCTGTTCCTCCTAAGGGGAGAAACCATATAAATGACTCAAGTCTTTTAAGGTGTGAGTGGGGGACAGGGAAATCAGAGTTGTTTCTAGAAAGGAATAGGTATATCTGTGGGGAGGGCAACATTTCATCCATCATCTCTGGGTCAGGGGTATCCTCCCTGTTTATGCCTGGGCCTGCAATCTGCAACCTTCCTCCTTTCTCTTTCTTCAGCAAGGAAAAATGAGGCATATAAAACTACTTTGGGATCTTTCTTGATGAAACAAGATATAAAAATAAAAAGTTTAATGCCCATCTGATGCTTATTCAAACCTACATAAAGGGTAAGAAGAACAGTGACAAACCACTTTCGTTTAGAGATATCGACAGAACACCCATAACTACAATTCTGGATACAGTACGTTTCCTGGGTAAGGGAGGGTTTTAAGCAGTACACTAACGGAGAACCAGGTCAGGACCTCATCCTGGTTACATCTCTCTTGCCAGATTGTTGGAATAAGCCTGATTTACTTGAATGATATTTCACTAGAGGGAATCCAACACAGGCATAAGGCAAGTTAAATGGAAAGCCTGATAGACAGAGTAAGGCAACAGACTCAGGGTATGTGGAGAACAGAAAATCTAGTTAATGAAGAACTTTTAGATTTCAAAATTTATTTTAGTTTTGGAGTAAATCCTACAAATGTATGCATTCTCTGTGAAAGATAACTGTGAAAAAATGGTTTGTTCACAATGTTTCAATTTTGACTTTTTATATTAAAATAAGGAAACATTTTCAAAGGAAAGAAGCTACAGTATTTTGTTTCAGAAGTGTTATAATGGACCATTCCATTTTCCTCCTAAATGAAATTTAATTGACATTTTTGCAATTCCATGAAGCATCTCAATTGACCTGCATTTCCTGAAAGCTCCAGAGCACATGTTCCACTAGAAGCACAATGTTCATTTCACTGCAGGCATTTTACACTGACTCTACCTTTGACTTGCAGAAAAGGTTGTGGCTTCGGTAACCAATTCATCCCAGGAGATCAGCTCAGGCTCCTCCTTAACCAAGCAGTCACTAGGAACAGAAACATAATAAGACTTGACCATATAATATTTGTGTGATAATATAATCTGTCTGAATTGCTGATTCTCTGAATCAGCATCAAATCTTCAGATTTGGCTAAATTGAATCTGTGACAGTAATCCGAATCAACTAATTGAATCACTGTCCCCAATTTGGGCTGAATCTGAATCCAAATCAAATAAGGCCATTTCACACACCCCTACTGTTCATAACAGTAAGAGTATAGTAAAGAACTGTCACGGTATGCTAGAGTACAGCCTACTCTGCCAGACCATAGACTTAAGTTACCCTTTTGCCAATTGTTCCCTATAGTATATTTTTCCCCTTAAGCTTTATCCTTTCTGGGATCAAATGAGTTCAACTTATTTCCTCCGGAGGACCAGCTCACAGTCTAAAGGATTCAACTGTTATGAACAGTAGGGGTGTGTGAAATGGGCCCTATTTGATTTGGATTCGGATTCGGCCCAAATTGGGGACAGTGATTCAATCAGCTGATTTGGATTACTGTCCCAGATTCGATTTAGCCAAATCCAAATCTGAAGATTTGATGCTGATTCAGAGAATCACTGATTCAGACAGAAACAGCTTTAAATGTTTTTTCTACATACCTCGAGGTACCAAGCGCGGCTTGTGACCATTGTGATGCTGGGGCAGACAGAGCATACCTCAGGAGTGCGGGGTGGGGTCTCCTGCGTGCTCGGTGGGGAACCCAGAACTACTTCCGGTCCACTGGGCAGCACACGGGGCAGCCCCCAGCATCCCCCCTGCTCAGTGATCAGCCATGGGGGGACCCCAGGTGCTCCCCAGACCCAGGAGGCACCAGTCGCTGAGCCCAGGGGTTGTGTGTGCGGGGCCCCCCCAGCACGCTCTCTGGTGGACCCAGAAGTGGACCAGAAGTCCACTTCTGGGTCTGCTGTCAAGGGTGCTGGGGACCCCCCCTGTGCTCCTGTGGGATGTTCCATTCACCCCAGCATCACAGCATTCACGAGCCACCTGCTACCTAGAGGTATGTAGAAAAACCATTTAAAGTTGCGTCTATGTTCAAATCGCTGAATCTCTCCAATTCAATTTGGAGAGATTAAAGGGTCCTCTGATTAGATTCAGATTTGGAGATTCAGCCACCAAATCAGGCTGAATCTCCACTGAATCGAATCAGGGACTGAAGCTTCCCACAGCCCTAATGAATGGCTGTGTCACTGAGCCAGTGAGTTAACTGACCATAACCACAAGGAGCACATTCAGACAAGCATGGTCAATGTGGTATGCGGCACTGCAAAACTTGTTTGTAGCACCATAAACTGCACAGTCTGTTGTTCTCCATGCTGTAAGAGTGTGCTGCATGAGCATGCTGCCCAAGCATACCCTGCGCCCTTTCTTTTTTTCTGCAGGTTTTTCTGATTCCTGGATATCCAGGAGTCAAAAAGAAAAAAAAAAGCAGAAAAAAAATTGGCGCAGCTCAGGCTTGGGCAGCATGTTCTGCTGAAAAGCAGAGCCGGGCCACCCGGAGCCATGCTGCGGCTGCCAGCCAGGCTCTGCCCAGCAGGATCGCTGTGGCTGCAGCCCCAGGACCGCAGGTAAGGCTGCTGGGGCCAACAGAGCTCACCCCAGCCTCCCCTACCACCTCTAAGGGGAGAAGCCATATAAATGAGTCAAGTACTTGGCACATGCCAAAGTGTGTGTGGCACAGGTGTTCCCTGGGGACAAGTAGCTGTGCTGGAAGGTGCGCCGCTGCTACATGTCCCTGGGGAAACCAAACATCCCCGCACACCTGGACGTGCACAAGGAGTGTTCTACAATCATGCATTTGCTATAATAACAAACCACAGAAATGTATTTATGGATTCCCACTAAACAGACACCAAAGCAGTCTGAACTCTACCTTTTCGCCAGAGACGTAGTAGCTCTGAACTTTTCTTCACTCGGAGGCATTGACTGGGGGACACTGCTCACACTTTCTTCACAGGTAGAGCTAGTTACAAAGAGAGTTATAATTAACCTGACATGATGCCGCAGATGTATTTGGATTATCCAACGCTCTTACAGTTATTTAAGTTCAACAGAGCAAGGAAGACTGAATTTAGGAGGCAAGACCCAGATCTGAAGTCTATTCTGATCAAATCTGAACATTAAAATCAGAGGAGTGAATATGAAGGTGACAAGTCCTACTAACATGTGACAAGCAAACAAATAAGCTTATTCTGCTTGTGGAAGTCTAAATAAAAGGACTAGGCAGAAGGATCTCTAGGACAGACTCCTGTATATAAGCTAGAGAACATAGTCAGAGCTTATCTGTGTACAAGAAATAGGACCTGAAGTGGACCAGTGGATGTGACCAAGGTTAAAAGCAGAAGAGAGCTGAATGAGGAGAAGGGAGTGCAGCCTGGTTAGCCTGTTGGTAGAACAAGCTAAGTGTCTCATTGCTTTTTCCCTGGCTAAAGCAGTGTTCTTTCCTATCCAGAAAGGAACCTTTATCTCCTGAAAAAAACTAGCAAAGGCAAACTATATAGCACGGAGAATCACCTTCTACACACGACATGTGAGATCTAGAACAGGGCAGGCAATTATTTTGGGTGGAGGACTGTTTACTGAGTTTTGGCAAGCTGAGGGCTGCATGGCTGGCCCCACCCCTT